GGAAACATCAAATAAACGTTTTTTTTTAAAAACAAAATAAACCGTAGAATATTGACGTTACTTCTCAGTTTAGGTTTCCACTCAACTCAAACAAGCTTTAGAACAGTTTCTGCTTTTAGGCTAAATAGGAATTAATTCAAGTAAAACATGTCCAGCTGCTTCTCAGTGAAAAGTCAAACACAGTGATGTAATGGTTGACCTTTGTGGTCTCTTTAAAGAAGGCGACTCTCACTGTTCCCCATGTGTTGACTGAGTTTTATCTTTAAATCAAATTCAGGAAGAACATAAAACCAAAACAAAACTGAACCTGCAATTACCTCACAGGTCGGGTCACATGAGGATTTATTTACTGAAGAAAACAAAGTTAACTAACTGAAGGCAAAGGCATGTTTTTTGATGATTCTTATTTTAAGCTCTGGTAATAAATATTTATCATTTATTGTTTGTTCAAGTTGCAGTATGTCTTAGCATTTCTTGAAAGAAGCCTAATAGTTGAATTCCTAAAAGTTGGCACCATGTGTTTACTTGTCAGGTGTTTTTCAGGATCACTCTCGTGTGTAATTTGTATTCTCTTTTCTTCACCACACCTTCTATGGCTCCTTTTACTTAAATGGTCCTATTTCCCTCCAGGCTTGAAAGTGACGGGCTACAGCAGGTGCTGCTTTGTTCCCTGAGGGAAGCAATTGGAAGCACGATTAATTTCTTTTTCAGGAAAGGGATGACTCAGCCATTTTTATTCCTGAAACACACATTTTAAAAGCCACACGTCACCACTGCTCACTGTGCAAATATTTGATTTGGTGCTTCTTTACCAAATGGAATTTAGTGCTATTTTTCACAAGAGATTTTTTTCTAAATAAGACGTAACATTAATTCTTTTTTTTTCTAGGCTTGGGAAATTGATCATTTTCACCAAAGCCATTAAAAAAAGTTAGACATGTCAGTTCTAAATATTTTAAGGTCTAGGAAAAGTAAAAAAATGAGGGGAAAAGGAGGTTTTCTTCTTTGGGTTCCTTTACAAATTGGTCTGCAGAAGTGTTTTAGAGTAAAGTTAATATAAATGTCTATTTTTTTCTCTCAACATCTGATTTAGAGCTGCTTTTCTATGTCCCTTTTTTCCATGTAGTAAAACATTTTGGATAATGCCTATATGGTCATTTTGATGCTGGATTTTTACGGTGGCCTCCCCCTTTTTCATGTTTGGTCAGACGCCGTATGATTGATGGGTTTCTGAAACATGTATTTGCACCATCTTCTTTACACAAAACTAGATTCCGCATATATGGTTTTCCAATTTCCTCAAATATTGGTCTAATAAATTTTACAACCCAAGATTTGCTTCCAGTAAATAGCTTTCAGCTTTAATCTTTCAAGGGTAAAGGAATGCATACCAGGCCAGGATAAAGCAGTGAAACTTAATAGTGCATGAAATGTTTTTGTTTTTACTCCAGCAAGTAATCTCAGCTCTGTCGTAATGTCTTGCTGTCCAACTTTCACGCACAAACACGCAATCTGGATTTCATATTTGCATTTGTGCATTTATCTGCTAAATTGTTTGAGACTGATTACGATGAGAGGGAGGCTTTCTAAGAAACTTGGAGTTGCCAGTGAGATAAAACTTTGCTCCAAGAAGTCCCTTGCAACCCAGGGGTGTGTCTTGTCTTCATGCAAGTCCAGCAGCACAGCAGTTCTTTGAGGGAAGATGACATCTCTCTCTGCTCCATGTTGTGATTAACAGAGGGATTTGCTAAATGAATGCATGCGAGACATTTCTCACTATCTCTCAAGCTCTAAACCCAAGGCCTGAGTTCAGTGGGACATCTGTTACTGGAAAGATGAATAAGGACAACTTGCCCAGAAAGGCATAATGATGCATTTGCCTTGCAATGCATAATTTAAAGAATGCTTTACTTGCCTCAGTTTTGCTTGTTGAACCTTCTAAGCATAATAACAGTATACTTATGCTTAATTTGACTCCCATATGTTGAACATTTTTTACATTTTTACTTATAATAGGCAGTCGTATGTGAGCCGGCTACAAGCTTGTGTGTCCTCGGATCGCCACACATGGGATATCGGGCCAAGACAATCCAGCATCTTTTTTTTAATGGAGAAAACAAAAACACAGCAACAAATAACGTGTGTGTATATCATAATAATTTAAACTTTGCGGAAATACACTCACCGGCCACTTTATTAGGTACACCTGTCCAACTGCTCGTTAACACTTAATTACTAATCAGCCAATCACATGGCGGCAACTCAGTGCA